TTTGCGATGTTGCTTTGACCAAGGCTTGAACCCAGGTGCTGATGAGTGAAAGCGCGCACTGCTTACCACTACACCACAGCGGCCGACAGCAACAGTTACATACCATAGATAATCATAGCCCTTTGTTGAGATGAGAGTACAAAAAGTGGTAGTTGGGAATCCGAGTAGTTAAGAAAATGAAGCGCTAAGGCAAACTTATGTACTTTAAGGTTAGCTGGTAGATAAATGAATATGCATATGTATGTACATGGTCGGCCGCTGTGGTGTAGTGGTAAGCAGTGCGCGCTTCCACTCCGCAACGCCTGGGTTCAAGCCCTGGTCAAAGCAACATCGCAAAAAAATATAGAAAAAGGTTTTTTCTTAACAGCCGTCGTCTCTCGGCAGGCAATGGCAAACCACCGAGTGTATTTCTGCCATGAAAAACAGCTTCTCGTAAAAATAAAATCGCCGTTCGGAGTCGGCGTAAAACTGTAGGTCCCTCCGCTTTGTGTGACAACATCAAGGCGCACGCCACAAGTCGGAGGAGAAGCTCGGCCAAACGCTAAAATATGTGTAAGCGCCAATCTATTATTATTATTATGTATGTACATATGTAGGCATGTATTACATACATATGTATATACGAGTACATATGTATGTAAGTGATAAGACGCAAAAAGTTTTGACTCGGCTATAGCACGACAATTAAAGATCTAGAAAGAGTGGTTAAATTAAAGTCAATAATTTAGAGACAAACTATTGTAAGTACAATGTATTAACTTTTTTCATGTTACTCTCTTCGTAAAAGTTTATATACATACATAGTGAACAGTTCCGTGAATTCACATTCCTATGTTTACACATACATACATACACATGGAGATATGTACACTAGGCAACAAATGAAAGTGCACGCCTTATTCTAATATAAAATTCACGATTATTTTAATCAAAAAATTTTTGCATTAATTGTCAAAAAAAAATATATATTTAGTCCTATAACATAAACGATAGAAGTCAAAGTTTCACACTTCACAGTTCAGAAAAAATCAAAAAATGCTCATCAAAATTTTAAGCTTTTTATTCAGAATTTCTAAGATTTCCGAGTATGCAGTTTCGTAGCCCATTCAATCTCATTCTAATGAAACGCAAGTTTCAACTGGCTCCCGTAGATCTTTCAGAATGTTTTCTTGGTGACGGATTTTTGCACGTTTTTCCATATAAGCATGGAGTTCTTTTGAAATACAAATCGGGAAACTGTTGGCAACAAATAAAAAAAAAAAAACGTTAGTTTTTGTAAATTGAACTTTTTACATAAAAAAAAACGCGAAAGCAGTCACCAAAAAAAATTTCAAAAATCTACCCCATTTTTTTGGCTGTTGAATCTTGCACTTCATTAGACTAAAATTTAATTTTCTAGAAATTCTGAAAAAAGTTGATAATATTGATGAAAACTTTTTGCATTTTTGTGAACTTTATATAAAGCGTAAAACTTTTATTAATATAGTTTATATTATAAAATGAACTACATTTCCATAACTCATGTACAAAATTTTTCATGAAAATAATTGTGAATATTATATTAAAAGAAGGTGTACACTTTCATTTTGTCGTGTAGTTTATGTGCGGTAAATACAGAAGTCACTCGCAAAAGAGTTAGTTTATAATCGAAATCTCTCAACTTTATATATATATATATATATATATATTCTCAAAGCTTTTTTCCGAGAGAATATAGCCGAAGATCAATCCAAAAAATATAAATAACCCTTTTGTACTTTTCCATAGATTTTCGCTCCTAATAATAAAATATTTCTTTAGGAGNTTCAAAAATCTACCCCATTTTTTTGGCTGTTGAATCTTGCACTTCATTAGACTAAAATTTAATTTTCTAGAAATTCTGAAAAAAGTTGATAATATTGATGAAAACTTTTTGAATTTTTGTGAACTTTATATAAAGCGTAAAACTTTTATTAATATAGTTTATATTATACAATGAACTACATTTTCAAAATTTTTCATGAAAATAATTGTGAATATTATATTAGAAGAAGGTGTACACTTTCATTTGTCGCTTAGTTTATGTGCGGTAAATACAGAAGTCACTCGCAAAAGAGTTAATTTATAATCTAAATCTCTCAACTTATATATATATATATATATATATATATTCTCAAAGCTTTTTTCCGAGAGAATATAGCCGAAGATCAATCCAAAATATAAATAACTCCTTTGTACTTTTCCATAGATTTTCGCTCCGTCTTAATAAAATATTTCTTTAGGAAATATGAGTATATTAAGTTACGAAAACTGGTTTTTAATGAAGCTTTATTTCTTCAATTCAATTCTAAAAAAAACAAACAGTAATTTTTAGCGATTTAAAACTTGTACTTTATTCTACTAGAATTCAATGGGCTGCAAAACTGCGTATGCAGAGTCTTTCGGGGAAATCTAATTAAAAAATATCGAAATTTTTAAGAAAGTTTGTTGAATTTTTTTAACACCAATTTTTTTGCATAAAGTTTGAAACTTGGATTTGCACGGGTTTTGCTAAAGACCAAATAAAATATGTTAAAACTTGTCAAAATCTAGGGGTTGACTTTCCAATAAGAGCCGGTCGTAATAGGGCCGGTGGGCGAAAGGGGAGTGAGCGTGGTACCTCCAACCCCCCTTTTTGGAGAGGGTATAAACCGCCATTGACAAAAATGCAACCCCAGATCACCTGACCCACTACGGGTCCCAGGGACCCCTTAGAAAAATTACCAAAAATCGCAATTTTAACTTGCACTTTTTCGCTTAGAAAAGGCTGAATATTCTTTTGTACAAGACATTTAATATACCCTTGACAACACATTTAATATATACGGCAACACAGAAAAGAGAACTCTACTTAGTAAAGGTCTTACTCCCAAAGCGCGGCCGCAGGCCACCTACGCAGGAAGGATTAAGTTCAAAAATACTGTGGACGCAATAGAAAATTGTGATTTTAGGCGGAGGCCTATGTGGTCGGAGGTTGCCGCTTTGGCAATGGCGGTTCATGTCCTCTCTAAAAAAAAGGTGTGGGAGGTGCCCCGCCCGCCCATTGATAAAAGAATGATAAAAGCTATTTTTTGTCTTCTTCCATACAGTCCATTCCTCGTCAACAAAACACCGAAAACCGCCTAAGGTAGAAAGTCAGCGAGGAAAAGTTAAAATAATCACAACAGCAACAAATCTATTAACAAAAACAATTATCTAACAAATTCTGAAAGGGAAATGGGCTTAGATCCGTATTAAATCCGATTAGGATCTTAGCTGTCCTCTGGGACATCCAAATGTCCAAATTAGACTGAAAAGGATTTAATACAACACATCAGACACAAATAAACAAAAAAAATCCAAAACATTAGCTATATCTTTAGTCTTAACTTCATTAAGGTAACCACTAACAGCTCAATTTAGCACTATTGTTTATAGTGTATAAACAAACAAACATTTTATTTATAAGAAACTTTAAATCGTATGGAAATTTTTAGAATCTAATTAAAAGGTAAAATACTTTTCATACGCATCCTTTATACTTGCAATCAGAAAAAAGTGCTCGAACTACCATATTCTTATTAAATAATTAATAACGAGAAGATCTATGGGACTTAAAATATAAATATACATATGTACANTTAGTGAAATACTCTAGCGCCCAAAACAAGAAACAAAAACTATTTCAGAGAAAAAACGGCTTTGTGAGAGACAATATTCCCAGGGCTGTGTTCCAGTTGCAAATGTTTTGTCCGATACTGTAACTACCCACAATAATAATCACAAAGCGATATTAAGTTCAAATTCAAGATAAGCAGCATTCCTTTTTCTATCTTATTTCAACTAGTTTGCATTTTGTTTGATTAAAAGAAACTGATGTTATTAATTTTGAATTTCCTAAACAAATTTACAATATTACGTATTTGTTTATTGATGTAGCAAAACAGATTAAGCATGATGGTAGATTCTAGAATTTTCAAAAGGCCTATGTATGCGAGCATGTATGTTTATACATATGTATGTAGTATTTCACAATTACTTGTGCGTTTTTACTTCTTTTAAAAGCAACTGCAAACTCGGGTTTTTTTCAAAATGGAGTTTCTTCTACACAATGGTTTCTCTACCAAATATGTATGTATAGTACATATGTGTTTATGTATACAAAACTTCACGCAAGTGTATTGCTTAGAATTTTACAAAAAACGCATATCCGTTTCCGGTCGCGAAGTGCAATTTCAATAGGAGCACTTTCTTGTTGATACACATTTTTATCATATGCTAATTGCAAAGCATAGCGAAAAAAATAAAATTTTCTACTAAATATAAAATCGATGTTCAAGTAATGGCAGCTGCGCACCACAAAGCAAAGAAAAATTAAAATAAAATAGAAAACGATGTCTGCTGTTCGCTGTTGCTTGTGATGATTGCGATGGCGATGGCGATGTGGTACGACAATACTGACAGAAACAGCAACAGTCAAACCAATGAAAACGAAAATGTAGCTTTGTTGGGGGAGTAGAGAGGCGCAGGCAAGCGAGCGAGCGCCTCAGCACAGCAAAATGTCGTATTTGTATTATATATAACTATAATAGACATATTGTAGCAAAACCAACAATACGTAAGTACATATATACATACATATGTATGTACATATGCAGGAGTATATAATAAAATAATGTACATATGTATGTATGCATGTAATAAAAATACAAATGTACCCACTGAAGGCACATGTATACACACGCAGCACAGACATACAATAATATGTACTTTAAAATTATTTACTTATCTCACCTCACCCCAGCTTAACTTATCTACTCCACCTAACTGCTCCAGCTTGTCTGCCTGCCTACGTTTCTATGCAGTATGCAGAATTGTGTATAAGTTTATTTAAATAGATTTATAATTTAAATTAGTGACTCTCGATGAGATTCTAACTTAGTAAATATTCTTGTTTAATATTATCTTTCTAGCTTATTTAATGCATTTAAATATTTCCTTACATTTTTCACTTAAAAGGTGCTCGTCGAATTCTTCGTCTGCTACTCGTTGTTATGTACTACATGTAAGTACCCGTAGAATTTTTCACAAATACCGAAGAAACTACTGCGGTTACAATTTAATTACGAAACAATATTGGGCTTAATTTATGTATTGTTGCAATGGTTCGTTTATAGCTACAATAAATTATACGTTTTTTTTAATTTTTTAGTTCAATTCTTTTCCAATGTAATATTCACAAGTTGTACGTGTTAACTCAATAGTTTTTATAATTTTGTGCTGATATATTGTATCCATATACTTTATATGCATATTGTTCATTATGGTATTTTACATATGTGCTTTGATATACTTTGTGCATGTATTCACAAATGTATGTACATTCAAATTCATATACATTTGTATGTGCACTGCTTCACCATCGTCTTTTCTTCCCTGCACTGTCGTCGACGTTCCGTGCTGCCTTTGACTTTATCGACAATCATTTTTTTCACTGTTTGCGAGAGTGAAGAGTTTATTGCTTTTGCTATATACGATAGAACGGGTGCATAAACAACAACATGTTTTCTACCTCCACAGTTTATATATAGGTATCTCTCCTCGCCCTTGCTCCGTCAGTTGCTGTTCCACGTCCCAATAACAGAAATGGCCATCACCACACACAGCAAAGAGTAAAATATTTTCTTTAAATTATTATACATATATGTAGACACACATGTATATACAACCGTTGATACTGCACTTATTTTCCAAGTTGTTACCGCACCGAGTTCAAAATATAGACTGAAAGCAAAAATCGTTTTTGCTTGCTACCTCAAAAGCACAGACCGTTCACGTTGAATTGGGCTCACGGGCTTGGACATGCGACTCGAGTCGATTCGAGACGAGACTCTCTCGCTCACATAACTTGTCCACATGCTGCCATTTGGAAAATTGTTAACGCTATATCAAGTAATTTCAAGCAGTTCACTCAACTCTCACAACCACGAGTGCTCAGGAGGCACTCGTCTATGCTCTACTCAGGGCACATGTTCATACGCGAGGTTTTCGCATGTGCTTATACGTATCTATATATTTACATACATTTGTCCACAAAATAATAGCAGTGCGATGTTTTGACCAGTTTTGCTCATTTGTCTTGTTTATTTAAGGTTTATTATTTTGTTTATAAAAGTTTAGCTGGTTACACAACAAACACCATATAAATTCAGATTTGAAACTTTGAAAAAGAATTATACAAATTTCGCAAATTTTCACCCAAATTTCAAATTTTTTAATCAGAATCTTTAGAAAATGTTTTGGTATGCAGTTTTGTAGCCCATTTAATGCTAGAATAATAAAGTGCAAGTTTCAAGCTGCTAAAAAGTTCCATTGATTTTTTGCAACTTTTTTTTGCTTTTTTTTTGTCGAACATACTGTGTTTTGTTCACGCTTACCTGCATATCAGGTTATCTGGTTAAAAATATTTTTTCTGTAGTGTATTTTGTTGCTGTACATATGGTGTTTGTTGTATAGCCGGCTAGACTTCTATAAAAAATAATAAACATTAAATAAACACAAGACAAATATNCATATCAGGTTATCTGGTTAAAAATATTTTTTCTGTAGTGTATTTTGTTGTTGTACATATGGTGTTTGTTGTATAGCCGGCTAGACTTCTATAAAAAATAATAAACATTAAATAAACACAAGACAAATATCCAAACCTGGTCAAAATATCGCACTCCTATTGTTTTGTGGACAACTGTATATAGAAACATAAAAAGTATATTTACATACATATATCTAGTAAGTATGAATATAATTGTGTATCCCACATCTTTGTGCTGGGTGGTTATCGGTGCTAAGTGCCTAACGTGCGGTTGGTTCTGGTTTTGTTAGCCTTTGTTCCCGAGAGAACAGCCTGCATTCACCTTACCCCTGCCGATATGTGAGTTTTATCTGCTGGCAAGTGTGTGCGTGTACGTAAATATACATATGTACATATGTATGTATAGTGATTACTTTAGGAAGAGAGCATCAAAAATCTTTATGCGTTGGCAGAAAAAAGGTGTATTGAAGCGGAGATTTGTTTGACCTGAGTGTAAACAGCCAAACAAATGACAACGTTTCTCCGATAACCAGCAACAACCTTGCAAATCAACATTTCATGGGCACATGTACATTAAAAAAAAAAAAATTAAGAAAACGCGAGCAAACTGATAAAATGGATACACATGGATGCTTTGTTTGCCAAGCAAATATTATAAATAAATATTCACATTTGTTTTCATTTAGCCAAGTAATCAAAGTGATTTATAAGAATGATCTCGCCTGCTTTCAACAAATCAATACCAGCTACTCTTGTTATGTGTTTGTTTGTCTGTCGGCCGTAGGTTCGACAGATTTCAATAATTTACACACTGAACACATTTAGTAGGTACACAGCAGTCAGTGTATGTATGTAGAAGTAACCCTTGTTCCCTTGCAATGTGTCTTCATTCCAGCACTTCTACGCTCCGCCGCATGTGGTCGGCCGATTTCACCCCGGGTACGACCCCGAAACACATTCGAGTCGTTTCTCATTTTCAGAATGGGGTCAACAAACTGCGTTTTAAGTCACTCTTATATTCTCGACCTATAATTTTTGTCATTGTTTGCTGGAATACGGCGCTCAGCGATGGCTGTGTGAAAGTGCGCAGTACTTTTATAGGTAAGAAAAGTAAAAACAGTTGCATGTGCTGATAACCAAAGGAAATTTATTAACATGAATTTTATAAATGTACATATGCACTTACCTAGATTACAGAACAAACGGATATACATAATACATACATACAAATTACGCCGTTTGCACGTTTATTTTCTAGAGGAAAAGACCTATAACGCACTTTAGCGGAAATTATATTCGACCTACATATATGTATTAGTTACCTGTCGGCACAGGAAATATGAGCATTGTACATAAGTATATAGTAGTTATATACATACATACGCACATAAGTATGTATGTATATGAAATTTATACGAACTGCTGGCAATTGGGTTTTGAGAAAATCAAAAGCTAGAAATAGAGAAAACTATGAGTTACCGCTCTAAAAATAAAACTCGATTTGAATCGAATGAAATTAAACGACAGCTGTTTTCTCTCCAATACAATTTAAATTGATAAAACGAATTCGATATCGAATGCCGTAATCTCAAAAAGAAATTTCGATTCGAATTTTATTCGATTACGGATGCCGCAATTCGGGCCCAGCTTAAGCATAGTACTCTGTTCTTATTTAGCGTGAAAAATCTGTCAAAGTCCATATACAATCTCGAGGTGAAAAAGCTCGAAGCATATTGGCAACATGAAGCTACATATACGAGGGGACGACATATTAACATTAGTGGCTGAAAATGGTTTTATTGTTTCTCCATGATATTGAGTACTCTTTTGCATTCGTTTCAGCATTTTCTTACATCAATTGGCACGAGACAACCACAAGCCTCTTTTTGAGGGTTTTTTAAATTGTGTGGGATCCAACGCGAACACACCTTCTTTACCACAAAGTGATCATGCAATATCTTTTTGATGCTCGTCATACTAATGCCCAAGGATGCCTTATTATCACGGTACGTGACATGGCGATCTTCCTCTATCATTTCACGGACAGCATCAATATTTTTTCAGGCACAACTGATTTTGAACGACCGTAACGCAATTTATCAGTGAGAGAACAGCGAGAAAATTCATTGTAGCAGTTTGTTAAGGGTACTAAAGCCCTGCAAAAATCGCGAATACTCCATGCATGCGTGTAAAGAGTACTCCCTAAGGACCAAAGAGTATTCCCAAAATTAACCACAATTCATATAAAAAATATGGTCCAATTAACATTGCGATGTCCTAGGGCAGGACCATATACTCCATCCCTGCATTACATCAGAGTAGCACAAAACTACTCCAACATATTAACAATGGCATTGTTGTTATATTTTTTCGTTTGTACACGCTTTTGTTCTTCACTTCTCAAATGCTTTTTCGAAATTAATAAAAACCAAGACAAAAATTAAAAATTACATGTTGCCTCTGACGGCATTCGAACCCGAACATGCTGGGAGCTAAGAACTAACAGCGAGCATCTCTACACGTTCAGCTACAGCCAGACATGCAAATGTGCTTTCAAATGCTCAACTTCAATCACATTTCGTTAAAACACGAGCAGTGATCGGATAACAAACAATAAGCTGGCGCAGAGACACGAGTTGGTCCGCTACAGCATGACAGAGGAACACTTTTGTAAGTACTCCAATTTACCACAAATAGACTACATGGTCCAACGATTTTTGCAGGGAAGGATTGCGCTTGATCGCCTTATAGTTATTCTTTTCTTGTTAATACCCGTCGAAAATTTTCGCAAATAATCGCATGAAAATCTTCACTGTTTAACTCCATTTTTTTCAGAGATGATATTTATACCTATTTTATAGAGCACTGATGTTGATGATTTTCTTGAAGTACCTTAAATGTTTGATAAGAAAATGTTCATGGTTCCTGAGCTACTTAAATTTGCGTTCAAACATACAGACGGACGAATATAGACAGAAGAACCTGATGAATTCGGTTGTATTTTTCTTCCTCTTATAGCTTAAAATATTTGATTAAAGTAATAATACGATTGCAGTTCTATTAAAGATATAATAAATGTAGAGAATGGTTCCTGTATGTAATAATCAAATTTACATATTAACCAGCGGAGGGCAAAAACAAAATGAAATTTGGGAAATTATATTATTACAGGCTACATATCGCACACCGTCTTCAAAAGAGTCACAACTCAAAATTTGCCATTTTTGAGATTATGCACTAAAAATGTATGCAGAGCTTATTTTACCTTTCAGCAAAAGCTGGAGCAAATTTTTGTTATAATTTGTTAAAAAAAAAACCTAACGTAAAGTCGCTCTTGCCCATATGATTATCATGTGCTAAGAAATAGTTTCTCGCATTTTCTGACAAACGTATTATTTTGAGTTGTGACTCTATAGAAGACGGTGTGCGATATGTAGATACATTTTTGTCAACGCTACAATTTAATTACTGTGGTCACGTGTATTTTTTCGATAAGTTTCTTGTTATCGTGTTCAGCACAGTTATTGAAAAACTGTAAAAAGCAAATGCAGATAATGGATACTACTTCAACAAGCCTCATAAAAAATTAGTAAATGTGTGCATGTAGCATATACAGTACAAGTCAAAGAAACTTACCACTATATACATATGTATGTTGTTAAATTCAAATTTCAAAATATGTTATTAAAAAAATTGTATTATAAACATTAAAACATGGCCTGAAAAATTTTGATTTAAATGTACTAAATATGTACGTACATATTTATGTATGCATAAGTACGCATTTAAAACTTTGTACACAAATTTGAAAACATTTTCACAATTATTCAGGGGCCGTAGTGGTTATGATCTTTATAATAAAAATCATGATTTAACCATTAAAATTGGATTTTAACTTTTCTGATCAAATTTAACCATTATTTTATGATTTTTATTTTTTGGATCAAGAATAATGAACCTACATATGTTCCAAGCTTCTGTAGTTAATATTTTCAACTTGATTCAATTTTTTGGATTCATAATAGTCAAGTACTAAAGTACTTTGGTTTATTTAATAGCATGCAGAGTTGGATATTTTCCATAAAACGAAAATTTTCAGGGTATACCCTAATACTTCAAATACATAGCAAGGGCATTTTTATAATTAAATACAGTTTAAAAGTTAAAAAAATTACTTTATGCAATGAAATGTCCTATTTTCATGCGAATTTATTAAATATTGTATAAGTTAAGTATAATGTGATAACTTTTATCTGAACGGTACTATCTATGCATT